GTCAAATGCTTTCGGATAAAATGGCACGGAATCGTTTTCAGCCTATCGATATTTTAATTACTTCCGTGCAATTATCTTTTAAACTAAGGCGAATTATGATACAATTCTAGGACGTTCAAACTACATTTTTTCTCCTGAATTCAAAACACTATTATAATAGCAAAATGGAGGCCAGGAACACCTTCATCTTGGCGACTGGAAAAGTGGCACGGAAGTGCGCCCATACGTATAGCGGATACGAGTTGAGCACGAGTCGATCGTCGAGTGCTTTTTGAAACTTGATTTCTCTACGCTTATTTTTTTATAAATTGAGCTTGCTAAATTGTCATTTGACCTATCCAACAGTTGTGGCTCGTTTGACGCGAGTGTGGTGCGACTAGTGCTGTCGACTCGAGAAACTCTCGACGTGAATTCGTCGTTCGCGATGAAAAACGCGACAATTTAGGATGGTGGGATTTTTTAGCCAATCAAAATCACTCGACAAAGCATTGTAGCCAATCATACATTTCCGTGAATTTCGCGATATGGTGAAACCGCGTGGGACGTACGAAACGGCTACCGACTGGACCAGAAGCCGCTAGGACGTTTTGTAGACGACCGCGACCATGGCCCAGATGAGAGAGATACCCTCTGGGTACGGCATGCTCATGATGGCGACACCGAAAAGTGCATGCGCCGCGCGCGGGAACAAGATGACGTCACGGCCAACCGCATTTGCCATGAGCTTGCGCTGGAGGTCTTCGAGGCCGATCGCGCTTACGGGGAAGCCCTTGAACGTGTGGCCTTGGGGCACCGCTCCTTGTATACAATTCTACGCTCGCCATGCATTCAACATGGGCGATCGTCGTCGATGCACGTCGCACCTGAAAGAAAACGTTGTCGGCATTCGCAGTACCAAACACCCGTTCCACTTCATACGACTTGAGCGCGATGCGGACGTAGTGGCTCAAGTTTGGATGCCACTTGGTACACGTTAGCCCGTGGGCTCGTCGTGTCGAGTACAGCCACTGGCGCAGTGCCGTGTCGAGTTTTTCATTGTCTGCCGCTGTCATCACGTTTGGAGGTCGCAACGAAATAGATGGCTGGCGTGGTCGCACTTGGGCAATCAAGGCTGCGTCCAGACCCTTCCACAGCGCCGAGTTGTGCACGTTCCAATCGACTTCACCAAACAACTCGGTCGTTTGGCAGTTGGCAAAGAACGACTTGTGGTTAAATATGCAGTCCACACGGTCGTAAGGACACGCTGGTGCCGACGCAGCGACACATTCACCCGTCACGGCTTCCCATAGCATGACTCTAGTCGATCGATTCGATCACGACGCGCGTGTATCAGTCATGAACAAAGGTGCGCTACGTACCCGGTGGTTAAGATCGTCGCCACCCAGACATGGCGCACCGGCGGTGCGACGGCGCTGCTTGTTGACGCTGGTTTGCGCCGCAACGTGCCCATGCACACGTACGTTTTCAAACCAAAGCCCAAGAACAATGACGCGAGCAAGATCTAGTGACGCACAACGTGTGAGGCGCAATCAACTTGTACAGCAACACGTCCAAATCCACGTCGACAACGACAAAAAAAGCGTTTGTTTGAAAAGTACGACACGTACAGCATGCTCCTCGCAGTCCCCGTGGCCCAACGCTAGGAATGCAGGGATCGAATGCCACGTCGCGTCGCGCCCCGTGCCGACGTGTGCCGCTCGCACAAACGGCACGAGCGACACAAACCGTGCTGCTTCGCTCGGGGTCGCTAGATGGATCGACTGAAGCGGGGTCACAAACGTGCACACCTACGTTCAACGCATGACAACCGAGCCATGCTGTCCGACCGACGGATGTCGCGCCGGCCATCAAGTGCAGCTACATCCATTGGAATAATCGATTCTCGTACGAGTTTGTAGTGGTGCGTATCGTCTTCGACAAACAGGCGAATCCAATGGGCCTTGCCGACGTAGCTGGCGCCGTACTCCCGGACATACTCTGCCCACCACTGCTTGCAATACTGGTACAAATGCGACTGGGTCCCGTGCCCAGTCAGTGTGTCTTTTTGCAAACGCGTCTTTGCGTCATGCGTTGTGGCAGTCGATTTTCGCACACTGGGCATGTCCAACCGAAGGTTTACCAGCCCTACATCATGCAAAGCGGCGACCTGTCAACGTTTGAAGATGGGCACATGATCCGCACACGATAACGAGCATGGAGTTCAACGCGGCGCAAGGGAAATCCAACGACATCGCCCCCACGTCATAATGGATTTGTTTTGTACCGACGGGCACTTTCATGGGACCGTGGAGCGCGAGCGGAATATGGACGACGGGATGGGGCGATGTGAGCCAGTGCCGCCAGTCCAACGTCGCGGCGGCCACAAGGTCGACAGCGACATCCTGCCACGAGTCCTGTCGTCCACGTCGATGATTCAGTCTAAATGAGAGGACGGCGTGTGCCGCAATGCCCCAAGATCGTACCGTTGTCAGCGACCGGGTTTGCACATGCTTTGTGATCGTCCAGTGCATGGATTCTTCGATTGCGCAGAGCCATTCCCACTTGGCGACGACTCCGCCGTTGGGGGTGGTGGGGTGCAGCGTAAACGCCATGGCTTCATCAAATGGCGGGTCCACAACACACGGGACTAGGCGCGATTGATAACGTTGGCCGTGAAAGGCCACGTCGTATCGAAGGCACGTTCGTGACGTTGTGCAGGTCTGACCATCGACCGTGGCTCCGGTAGTCGGGCAAGCCGCAGTGTCGTCGATCAGGCTGTCGACGAATGCTCGACCGCCCAGCACGCGCACATGCAGGACAGGCCACACCTGGCCAGAGGTGGCATCCTCGTCGATGGATTCGGTAGCCGCGGGTGGCGTACAGAACGACGACGGCCCTGGCACGGACAACGATGGCGTTTGAAGGGACGCAATCAGTTGCTGCACAACGTCCGACTCGAGTAACGTGTGCAATACCCGATCGTCGTGGTCCGGGCAATCATCGATGGCATGGTCGACAGTGGTTGTATGCGTCTGGATAAGGGACCTCAGCTGGGAATAGATGCCTTCGTCCCGTAACTTGGCGTCGATCGCAGATCGAAGCGACGCGAGCGGGTCTGGCATTCCGGACGCCATCGCGACTGGGAATTTTTTTCGAGGCGGGTGGCGGCGGTTACGCTTGGTCTTGAAACATCTCGTCTCCAGGAGCAGCCCATTCGCGTCGTACATCATGCCGAGAGCCACCGTGCGAGCGCAGCGGCGCCAAGCATCCCGCTTCGATACACACGAACGAGCGAGCGCGATTCAACCAGCTGCACTCGTCGTTGCCGCCATGGTGTGCGGACCAGTGCAAGTGATGAGGTCGCCACGTGTTCTCGGTGGCATAGCACGCCATGCAGCCACGAATTCATGGCAACGCGATGCGAATACGCATGGCGGAAATCATCATGGGGGTATGTGGGACCGCACAGTTGCACCATTCAGCGCACGACGGCGATTTCCCCAATGCCAGATGCTTCGACCGACCAGCGCGAAGAGTCTGCGCTCGACATTTGTCCCACAGAAGCGTCGCACTCCACACACGCCGAGAGGGGGCGATGGGGCGCAGATTGCCCCTCACCATACCAGCTTTGCATCGGGGGAGGTGGGGGGCGCCACCTTGGTCGCAGCCTCGGCGAGCCATGCCACGAGGTCGTCACCATGGATGGATGGATGGATGCGATCGATCGCGCTCGGCCAGCGTTAGGTAGCAGCGATAGATTTATCGGATTCGCGACAAAGGCACTGATCGGTACGAGTCGTCGCCGCACCGTCTGGTCACCACGCGTGTTTCGACGTAAAAGGCACTTTGCCGTGCACTTTGCACAACTGTGACGTGGAAACAGTTCGTGCTTGCTGGGGGGGGCCACCATCGAGGTCGGCCCTTTGAATACAGCCAAGGCCATGCTTCCGTCTTGGCCCGCCCGCCGCCTCCAACCATGTCGAGTGTGCTTGATGGCTACATCTGATCGTGCAATATTTGTCCATCTGTCACGTCCGCGCTGGAAGAGAGAGTCGAGGCCGGCAATCCCCCCGGCTGGACTGGCTCCGATCTGTAGTGGATGTGGGTTCCAAGTAATCCAGTAGGCGGCCCACACCATCGGGTTGTGCCCTCGATGCAACCGCCGCGGCAGCGACGGCCAGGACGTAGCCCTCGCCCTTTTTTCGAGACGGAGCCGCTGTCGCCGCCGCCCGAGGCAAGCCCCCGCCGCCATCGCATCCCGCGTCGACATGTTAACGGCCCGATGCCGATGCGTTGTCCACGTGTTACAGTCGGAGGGTGAGCCAGCCCCGAAATAACTCGCGTCGAGACAGGACGCTCGAAATACCACGTTCGCGACCTATAGCAACCGATCCAGTTTTAATTTTGGGTAGCGCGGGATGCATCGGTCAGCACGTTCCACTGCCCCGATCGTCGATCCACGACGTCGATTCGGTGACCACACGCCGACCGAACCGGACCTGTGCCTCGTGGCCAACTGCCCGCGCTATGCCAAGCACCTGCGCCTGTGCCTCACGCACACGCGCCTCGCGGGGGTGTCGACGCCGCCGCCGCCGTCCACGACCCGGTCCTTTGTCCTCCACCAGTTTGTCACGCCATCGAATCAACCGATCGAGACGTCCCATCGGCCGCACTTGCAACCCCAGCGTGCGCTGTCCCACGGCCCCAACTCGCCGGTCGTTGGCCCCCGATATCCAATGACTGCTGCGTCGTCGTCAGCTGGGCCGCCACCGCGATCGCTCATGTCGCTCTTGACCAGCTCCACCTCGTCGACGTTGCCGCTGTCGACATCGACGCGGGTGTGCAAACACGTCTTGTGCCACAAGACGGCCAAAGCCGGCGGGTTTTGTATTGCCCATGGAGGCGGCAAGCGATGCCAATCCCTCGACTGCATCAAGAGCGCCAAGGAAGGCGGCTTCTGCATCGCACACGGAGGTGGAAAGCGGTGCGGCGTCCCGGATTGTACAAAGTCTGCCCTCGCTGGCGGGTTGTGTGTAGCCCACGGGGGCGGCAAGCGGTGCCAGGTGCCGCAGTGCTCCAAGTCGGCCGTGTCAAAGGGACTGTGCATTGCGCACGGCGGCGGAAGGCGATGCCAAGTCGCATCGTGCGGAAAGAGCGCCGTTGGCGGCCAGTTGTGTGTGTCCCATGGAGGCGGGCCTCGATGCAGTGTGGGAGGGTGTGGCAAAGGGGCGGTCAGCGCCGGGCTGTGTATTCGCCACGGAGGCGGGCGTGCTCTCAAGTCGGAGCTCTGAAGCCCCTCGTTTTGTACCGATGTAAACTAATCTATTTGAGTGCCAGTCGTCTTGTTGTTGGCCGGATGGGCGTGCACGGCTGACGAAAACGCTCGATGCTGGATTGGATTCGCGTTCCGACGCACAATCACATCGGCAGATCATAGCGTCGACAACTCGCACGCGCCTCTCCATCGACGGGGGTACCGCTCATCCTCCCTCGGTACTTGCTCTCCCGAAAGAGCCATTTGTGTTTTTATTCGCGGCTTGGATCAATTTTGTGATTTGATCGGGATGCCACCCCTCTGCTCGAACGAAAACACCTCTGCTTGTCATCGCATTCGGCGTGTAGGCCGCCATCGCTTGTACGCATCGGCGCTTGTCGATGCCTAGCCCGGAGCACACATCTCGACGGCGCATCTTGCCTCGGCAGACAATGGAGCGCGCCAATGTGCCAACATATCTTGAAACGGCGCGAAACCGGTCGACGTCCCGATGAAGCGACGGCTGCTTCGAAAGTCATCGTAACCCCCCCCCGTGACTTTTTGCGGTGCCTCCAACAGGAAAGGTGCAGAGAGGGTGTACTTTTGGACGCGTTTCCTTTCACCCTCGGTCCCCGCTCCGCCCGATTGCTTTGCTGGCTACTGCAAACAACGGGATGGCCTTCCCCCGTGGTACGAAGGGTTTGTCATGAAAGAATTTGCACAGGGGTATTTTTCAAGATCGTCCACATAATGGAAATATTTTTCACGATCGTCCAATTTGAACTTTCATCAGGTATTTTTATTCCAAATCGTCCATCGCGGCATGATTGGCTAAAATCCTCATGAGTTGGAGGATGTGGCATGCCTGGCATGTTGGGCCAGATGTACATCGAAAGTCGCTAAGTCATACCGCTGTCGCGCTTGGTGTGGCGTCGTGGACGGCAGGTGCGGTCGGTGATTGCTGGGGGCCGCTGAAATTCTGGACGGAGACGACTAAATCCCACTTGGGACTGACTTCCAACGATTTTATTCTCGTTAGACTTTTAGCCAATCATGCCGTGATGGACGATTCGGAATAAAAATACGTCTTGAACGTTCCACATGGACGACGGTGAGAAATATTTCCACTCGGTGGACGATCTTGAGAAATACTAGTAAATAATATTCGAATCTACGTTTTGAGCAGAACAGGACTGTGTTTTCATTGGTTCAAATTTTGGGATTTTCAGGGCATGGAATCTTTACGACCGAATTGTTGCGACCAAGTTCATAGAGCTACTAGTGTATTGACAATTAGTCAATACTTCTAGTACAGTGATGCCTCTATTTTTGCAACAGGACACATTCAATATCCTCCGAGAACTAATACATTCATTTCGAGCAGTAGGATTTGAAATTGAAACTTGTACCGCGACGGAAGAAATGCCATCCGCTGGCGAGCGTGCTCATTCGAGTGCGTACTGCAGACACGTGCCGTCTCCACGACGACTGGACGGCAATGCTGAGCCGCGTCGACGTGGACAGGTCTCGGCCTGGCGCGCTCGGGCGGCAGGGACGCCAGCAGTACTGACTTTTGCTGCCTACACAACGACGCTGGTGCTCCATGTACTTGAAGCGAGGGTTTCCTTCGCTGTCGTAGTTGGAGACGCACACAAAGCCGGCGACGCATTGGCGACCCACGCCACTGTTTGGATTGCACAGCTTGGGGGCCTTTCCCCAGGATCCGACGGCCAAAAGCAGTCTTGCTGCTCGGGCCACACCTACGTGCTGTGTGAAATCGGCGCACTCCCCATCATGCACGGAAACAGGTCGGGCGCGGCTTGCACCATCGCAATGTACGATGCGTTTGGAGAGGAGTTGAGCGTTCCGTTCGGGGCAATGCGACGGGAAACGGCGTCGCCCGGCACTGATAATGAAATGCCCCGCGGTACATTTCCATGCCCAGGATGGCAAACACCAATGTGCAAAACATGAACAACACAAATAGTTCGCAAGTGCTGATGAACTCGCCAGGAGCGAGTTCGTGACGACCTGTAAATTGATGTCTTGATAAGCTGAATGAATACATTTGAATTGTCTGCAGAGCGTGTTGTACCAAACCTTTGTAAATTTATTCCTTTCATTGTTTATTGATTTCGGTCGTTGCAAAAATGGAGGCATCACTGTACACCTAACCATCACTGGCACAGAGCCATCGTAAACGAGAGACCTCACAAGGCATTTCTTCCCCATCGGCAATCATTCTCTGTATCATGGTCAGCCTCTCCTTGGCTGCGGACCCCAAGATTATTCGCGAAGCCACTGCCTGGTAGATCAGCTGGCTCTTCACGACCAACAACGAGTGTAGGTATCATTCATTTTTCCCATACAATGTTTATATAACTGTACTTTGTCCTGATGTATGTCTTACACCTCTTCATACTTACTGAGTATTTTACTGAGAAAGGTACCGTTGTATAAATTTAGGACACAAGCTACAACGCAGCTTTCGCTGGCAAACCAATGCTACATGCTACCACGAGGGGATGTTAGCGCATTTGGTTGGAGCACGTCTAACAGTCTTTCTCAACCGGTTTGCGAGAAAATTTCGTTCGCTAACTGTCGTTCAAAAACAACACACCTGATGTATATCCAGTTGTCATGAGCGAATTAATGCCCCATGTGCCAATTGGTGTCACGTGGAATGCAGAATGTACGTTTGAACTTAAAAATTGAGCGATATTCTCTTTTTGGAGGGACAAAATGAAAACAATATCGCACAATTCCTTGCGAGAATAGTACTTCCTCTGTCCCACATTAATGTTATCAAATGCCATCACGCTGACCCCAAAAGGCTCATATCTGGACCAAAGGTCATGCAGAAATCATATTATAAAGTCCAAAAAACTACTACAGGTTGAAGTCATTGGCCATCAACCACCAAACCTGAAATTTCGCGCTCGAAATCGACGTCGCATGACAACCACTCAAATAAAAATACAAACATACTCAAATCAAAACATTTTCTAATTTCCGCAATGGAGAATCAACCCGCGGGTACACCTCGAGTGCTCTCCATTTGCCACGAAAGCAGAAATAATCCGACAACTGCAATCCTTCTTCAACATGGGAAAGTTAATGCACGGCGCCATGACCAGAGTTGCGCTTCAGCTCGCCATGACGCGCCAAACAGTAGCCCACGTGTGGCGCACGTTTCGCCGCCGTGGCGCCATCAAGCCAGAGAAGGCAAGGTCGATAAGAAGCCGCTGTACACACACGACAACAACTAGGACCTTGTATGCGCGGTACCAATTGACCGATGTTCAAACATGCGAGACATTGTAGCTGCCATTGGTGCCTACATGGGTACATTCAGTCGCCACCTCAAGAAAGGAACCTTACAACGACATTCGTCGCGCATCAAACCTCTTCTGTCCAGTGAGAACAAGCTCGAACGCCGTACATTTTGCACCCCCGCCAAAGTTACGACCCCCGAAACTTTGATCCACTTTGGGACGTTGTCCACCTAGATAGAAGTGGTTCAATGCTGACAAGGACCGCATCAAGCATTATCTTGTCCCTGGCGAGCATCCACAGCTACGTTCGTGGAAAATCAAGCGCTTTATGCCCTAGGACATGTTTTTTGCTGCTGTTGCTCGACTGAGGTTTGACTATGCACGGGGGACCATGTTCTGCGGGAAAGTGGGTATGTGGCCGTTCGTATCCCTCGCTCCTGCGGCATGCTCATCTCGGAACCGTCCCGCCGGATAGTGGGTATGTGGCCGTTCGTATCCCTTGCTCCTGCGGCATGCTCATCTCGGAACCGTCCCGCCGGATCCATGTTGACCCAATTAGTGAATGTCATCACAAACTTGTACCGTGACTTTGTCGTCAACATCAAAATGTCCTTTCCCAGCGCAACCAAACGGGTTGTCTAGCAACATGACAATGCCTCCCCCCACGGCTCCATCACGGATGACGTACTTCAGAGCGTCTCGACCGATAGCTGGAACTTTGTTATCCGCCGTCAGCCGCCTAAGAGTCCTGACCTGAACGTCGTCGACCTTGGTTTATTCTCTTCGATCCAGTCTCTACAGTACAAGGAAATGAGTCGTTCTGTCAACGACGTTATTCGATCTACTCTTATGGCATTCGAGATGCTGAGCTACGAGAAGCTCGAGAACGTTTTCTCACCTTTCAGGCGGTCATGGGTCTTACTCTCGAGCCGGATGGATGCAACAACTACTCTCTTCCCCACCTCAAGAAGTCATCCTTGCGGCGCGCTGGTCTGCTGTTGTAGAGTGTTCATTCCCCTGCATGAATTTGATCTTTAGCCAGTGAATTCATATTCTTTTCTCATGAGCCAATAGAATTTCTTTTGTTCACAGTAATGTGGAAAAACTGGATTTTGTATTTGTTAACAGTAATGTGGGACAGAGGAAGTATGATGCGGTAATGGTTAAACAGGGGACACAGAGGATGATAGCAGGCACCAAACTGTGATACTACTTGATCTGGCTACCTTCAAACAACAACTAAACACATTATTACTGACGCTGAGTTTACTACTTTCCTAAAGTTTTTATGGAATTCCCCTATCATGATGACACGAAGTGCAGAAGTTGCCAAACTAAGATTGCCTATTGGCCGAGACGTTTCATGTGCTTGGACGGAAAATTTTTGTTATCCATTGGCTAAAATGATTTTATACTTACAATGGATGATTTTGGACCTCCACAATATTCATATTTGAGAAGTATGGTCGAGGACAACGGGGTAAGGTTTTCCGTCGTTCCCTGTATGGCGTGTAGCTCGCACAAGTTTTCAAAGACCAAGCGCAGCTTGGATGCCGGAAATTTATGAAGTAGCGGTTGCCAGCAATGCCACGAGTCCTCACCATTTTTTTTGTTCACAGAGCATCCACAACTGGATATGTCGTATGAAACAGTACTAAAAGCATGCCTTAAATTGTAGTGTTTTTTTTAGTTGATCATCCAATCTGTTAGTAGTATCTTCCAGACGTTTCAACGGGCCGCTGAAGCCAATGCGGAGGTTTTGGCACGGCCGTCGGATTCGAAAATGTCAAGCGAGTATAATCCAGCCTC